TCCTCTTTCACAGAGGGATAGTGAGTCTGTGTAAGTGGATTTCTCATCCTGGTGTCTCCATGCTGACGTGTCTCTTGCAGGCTTCTGTGCAGCTTGCAGGTGACGATTAGACTCAGAACCGCCCAATCAGATGCAGTCAATGTGATCCTTGTTGTTAACAGCCCAAAAACTTCACTGACTTTTAGCTGGTAAAAACAGAGCTCAGTAGCTCTGTAATTAAATGCATAACCCCAAACTCTGGAGGAATTTCATTGCTCCTCCAGAGTTTCTTCATCAGGTCTCTGCACTCTACATATTAGCATCTGATGCCTCTTGGGTGTTACTGGTCCATTCGTGTCCATTCCCTCCTCAACCTCTCTCCTCTCAAGATCAACATTAGAAGCATTAGTTCAGAGTAGGTTAATTAGATAGGTATAACTCAAGTGATTTGATTATGTGATCATAATTATTAGTAAAAACTTGTTTATTGCTATTGCATCATTCAAAGTGTTCTTACTCTATCCTTTAAATTATCCTTGGGGCCGATTTTTCCAGGGCACTAAATTTAACCTAGTTAGTTACAAATTGTACAGATTTGGAGGTGAACTGCTAATAACAGGTGTGACTGAGGGGAGGGCTTGACCAGAGGACCACCCTGGCAAGCACACCTTTAGACTGAGCGGGATCAACATCCGGAGGACTAAGAAGCACTAAGAGCATGGGTCTCCAACTGCAGTCCTCAAGGGCCGGTGTCCTGAAACTTTTGAATGCGTCCCTGCTGCAACACAGCTGAATAAAATTATTAGGTCATTAGCAAAACTCTATAGAACGTGACTGCATGCTGAGGTGTCAAATCACCCTTTTGATTCATGTTACAGCAGCTCATGAGTGAATGAACATGGTGAAATAAAAGTATCTTTAGAAGCACATTTTTCCAAACACTTCTATTGACTTACATTTGTTCAAATTTACTTGAGTAGGGTTCCACCTCTGCATGCAGTCAAGTTCTACCCATATGGAAAAGATATATATAAATCTGATAAAGTTTGTGTCTGTCTTGTGTGAAACTTGTATGAAAAGCAGACAAGAGTGAAAACAGATATAATCTTGAAAAATTATATAATGAAACTTGAATGTTTTGTATATTTACTAAAACAATATATGACAGTAATTAGAAAGTGGCCACTTTCATGAGTAAATCATGTAAGCCTTATAAGATTTACTTATATGTAGTCTATGTTTGTTAGGTGTGGCTGTGTGCAGGCAGGAATAGGACCCAAGGTGCAGACTCCGGAGACAGATGT